GGGAGAAGGAGCCATACATCCAGAGACCATGATGAGTTCAGTAGACAGAGGTGTTGAATGGGCAAAGGAGAAGCAGCAGAGATGTAGGTGGAGGCCAAATCAAGGTGGACTTTGGGCGTCAGTTCAGGAATTTGAATCCTGTCTCAGGGCAATGGGGAACTGTTAAAGGATCACACAGATGCAGCGAAGAGAGTAGACTGGGTAGAACAGAGCCTGGAGAGGGACAAGGAGGCTGCTCCATGATCCTAGTCTGGGGAAAGGGGCCTGGGGCCTGAGCTAGGGCCATGGCCCAGGGGTAGGGAGAGAGGTGGTTTGGGAATTGACAGTTGGGATGGAAGTGAGCAGTCTCTGCTCAGAGTCTCACCTTTGCCCCATCTGCCAACCTCCCTCTTACACGACTGTGTTGCCTGTGACTAATCTGGGGGATTCTTGGTCCCCTTAAGCAAAGTTTACTCTCCCCTGGCCCCAGCCCTAGCTCCCCTGTTTATCATAGAGGACGTTTCTGACCCTCGGGTCGGGCACACCCCTGGTTCTACCTGGCTCTCTTCAAATTCCTTTCAGGGCAGGCTGCCTTCCCAAGGCTTCCTTCTCCTTCCTGACTTTCTTACTCCTTCAGAGGGGCATTTCCTTCCGGGTTACATGCCCAGTGGTCCCTGCACTGTCTGAAAGTGGTGTCCCCGCCTCAGTGGGACCGGTTTCAGGGTAGACGTGAAGGGCTGATCAGAGGGCCTAACTTAACACAGACACCTAGATCGGCTGGCCAGGTCGTTGAACTTTGCCCAGATTCCTTGTAACTACTGTGTCATTTTGCCTCATATCATTCCATAGAATCATCTGTACCCGCCCCACCCCCCAGCTTCTTACTCCTGCCCTGTTTCTCTCTTTGGTTACTGATATCCTTGTGCTTTTTTTTTTTTTTAATTTTTTTTTTTTTTTAAGATTTTATTTATTTATTTGACAGAGACAGAGACAGCGAGAGCGAGAGCAGGAACACAAGCAGGGGGAGAGGGAGAGGGAGAAGCAGGCTTCCCGTGGAGCCGGGAGCCCGATGTGGGGCTCGATCCCAGGACCCTGGGATCATGACCTGAGCTGAAGGCAGTCGCTTAACCAACTGAGCCACCCAGGCGCCCCTTTTTTTTTAAATTTTTAAAAGGATTTATTTATTGGGGGGGCACCTGGGTAGCTCAGTTGGTTAAACGTCTGCCTTTGGCTCAGGTCATGATCCCAGGGTCCTGGGATTGAGCCCAGAGTCTGGCTCCTTGCTCAGCGAGGAGTCTGCTTCTCCCTCTCCCTCTGCCCCATAAATAAATAAAATCTTAAAAAGATTGCTTATTTTAGAGAGAGAGTGCACATGCATAAGTGGGGGGGGGTGAGGCAGAGGGGGAGAGAGAGAATCCTCAAGGAGGCTCCCCACTGAGTAGGGAGCCCAGTGGGGTGGGAGGGAGTGGGGGAGGGCTGGATTCCAGGACCCTGAGATCATGACCTGAGCCGAAATCAAAAGTCAGACACTTAACTGACTGAGCCACCCGGGCACCCCAATATCCTTGTGCTCTTAGACACAAGGCTGTAGCGGCGGGGGGGTGCCTGTCCTTTTCCCTTCCTGCTTCACCGCGTCACCCTTTGAGCCCCAGCATGGCCTTGCCCAGCCCCGTGCTCCCCGGTGCTGGTGCTCTACCAGGCCTGACCCATCCTTGAGAGGCTCCGGGGCTTATGGGGTGGTTGGACATTAACACAAACACATCTGCTCCCTGGGGGATCAGGGCTTGGGGAAAGGTTAGACGAGGAGGCAGATGCTGCCGAGGGCCAGGGGAGTTAGGCGCTGGGGCCGGTGAGGGACCAGAGAGGGCCCAACCCACATGGACGCCCAGATGGGGATGGCCAGGTAGCTGTTTGATTTTGTCCTGAATCCTTGGAACTGCTGTGTCAGTTTGTCTCCTGTCATTCCATAAAACCACCTGCCTCTACTTTTTTCCTTCTCTTGCCCCGGTTCTCTCTTTGGTTACTGATATCCTTGTGCTCTTAGACACAAGGCTGTAGGGGGGGTGCCTGTCCTCTTCCCTTCCCTGCTTCACCGCGTCACCCTTCAAGCCCCAGCATGGCCTTGCCCAGCCCCGTGCTCCCTGGTGCTGGGGCTCCACCAGGCCTGACTCCCATCCTTGAGAGGCTCCGGGGCTTATGGGGGTGGTGGGACATTAACACAAACACATCTGCTCCCTGGGGGATCAGGGTTTGGGGAAAGGTTAGACGAGGAGGCAAACGCTGCCGAGGGGCGGTGGAGGTGGGCGCTGCGGCCGGTGAGAGACCACTGTGCTCTGTCTCCATCACTACCTAGCACTCGAGTCCTGCTCCTCCCGTCCTCTGGACAGTGCAGTGACCTAACTGGGCTTCCCTGCCTCCATCCGCACCTGTTCCCCGGTCCACTTTCCATGCAGTTGCCGGAGGGAGGCTTTGAAAGTGTAAATCAGATCGAGTCACGTGTTTCAAGGCCTAATAGCTTCCCATCCCACCCAGAATAATATCCAGTCCCCTCCTTGTGTCTTACGAGGCTCTGCGGGACATGGCCCTTGCTTACCTCTCCAGCCTCTAGCGTGTCTCTTCCTCTCATTCATTGTGCTCCAGTCACAGAGCACCTTTCCGTTTCTGGATCATCTCCAGCTGGTGGCACCTGCTTCAGAGCTTTTGTGTTATACGGGTCCCCTCTGCTTGGAACACTTCTTTGTGCTTCTGTCCATACTCCAAAGCAGGGGCCGTGTCTTTTTTTTTTTTTTTTTAAGATTTTATTTATTTATTTGAGACAGAGAGAATGAGAGAGAGAGAGCACATGACAGGGGGGAGGGTCAGAGGGAGAAGCAGACTCCCTGCCGAGCAGGGAGCCCGATGCGGGACTCGATCCCGGGACTCCAGGATCATGACCTGAGCCGAAGGCAGTCGCTTAACCAACTGAGCCACCCAGGCGCCCAGGGGCCGTGTCTTAATAATAGAATCCAACATCTGTTAGCCTGTGGAGTTGATAACCCATTATCCCATTGGAAAAAATGGGCATTATTACTTCCATTTGCTAGGTGGGGAAACAAGTTTAGAGACGGTTGCGAATTTGGCCAAGGCCAAAGACTTACACAGAGACTTGAAGTCACTAAGCCAAACTTAAGATACTTCGCTCATTTGCACAGTCGTCCCAGGCACATGCACTAAACATCCCAGGGTATCAGGTTCTGGGCTTGGTGACCACAAACACCGGAGACAGAAGCAAGGTCCATTCACGGGGCTCCTCTGCTAGGTGTGTATCTCCAGGAGGTTCTGTCAGATCATCGTCCACCCTCCCTTCCCCTCCCTGGGGTTGCGATCGTTGGAGTTTAGGACACTGTGAGAATACCTGCTATTTGTCCCTGTTAAGCAGCATCTTCTAGGGTCATCCCAGGGCTTTAGCCTATTGAGAGCCTTTGGGATCCTGGCCATGTTGGCCACTCTTTCTGCTCTGCCTCTCAGCTTGTCCATCCACAGGTATGAGCACTAGACCTCTTTAACTTCATCTAAGTCACCAATAAATATATTGATCGGATCAGGGCCAAGGAAAGACCCTGGGGTGTGTCACTCCAGGCACACACCAGGGCAATCTGATCTGCCATACCCTTAAGAGACACCCACATAATCAAGTCCAGAGCGTACCAGCCCGCCTAGGCTGCCCCCTCCTCATGTTTCCCACCACAGAGTTTGAGAGGGGTAACCCTGGGTGTCTTAGGCCGGGGAGGCCATTTGGGGTTGGGGTGCGTGGGATTTGCTCTTATGTGTCCAGTACCCACCAAGGTGCCTGGTACTCAGTAGGTACCCAGTGAAGGCTTGTTTTGTTTTTGTTTTTTTGGAGAGAGAGTAAGTGGGGGAATGGGGGGCAGAGGGAGAGGGAGAGAGATAATCCCAGGCAGGCTTCACACCCAGTGCAGAGCCTGACACGGGGTTTAATCTCACAATCCTGAGATCACAACCCTGAGATCACGACCCTGAGATCACGATCTGAGCTGAAATCAAGAATTAGATGCTTAGCCAACTGAGCCACCCAGGCACCCCCCCCTTTTTTTTTTTTTTATGAGAGAGACTTAAGCATGTTAAATGTTGCTAGGAAGGAGCCAGCAGAAACACGTAGAGGAAAAGGTGGGAATGAAGGGCTCAACCACCTATCATTCCTCCATTTAAAAAGTATTACCAAGCACCTGCTCTGTGCCAGGCATTTTGAAAAGGGCTGACAAGGTTCTTGCTTTTTTTTTTTTTTAAAGATTTTATTTATTTATTTGACAGAGAGAGACATAGCAAGAGCAGGAACACGAGCAGGGGGAGTGGGAGAGGGAGAAGCAGGCTTCCCGCGGAGCAGGGAGCCCAATGCGGGGTTTGATCCCAGGACCCTGGGATCATGACCTGAGCTGAAGGCAGACACTTAATGACTGAGCCACCCAGGCGCCCCAAGGTCCTTGCTTTTATGGAACTTACTTTCTAGGAAGGGAGGTAAGGAATAAGTAAACAAGATAATTTCAGTTAATGGTAAGTGCGATGAGGAAATAAAATGGGGCGATGTGCTAATGGAGGGGTGCCACTTGAGAAAGGATGATGTAGCAAGATTTAGGGTGCTGTAAGGGGTAAGGATGCTAGATTTCCTGGGGGAGCTGAGCCATCAGGGGAGAGCCAGGGTTTAGCAAGGGAGGCCTTGGTATGGGGGAAGGAAATGGTCTGAAAAGAGGAGGAAGGACCTGGGGAGTTTGCCAATGAGAGGGGCTAGTTCCAGAGACCTGTTGGTGAGGACACAGAGTATTAGAGGGTGGATGACCTTGGGGTTACCCTTTGGGTCATGACCAACAGGTCAATTGCCAACTCCACATCTGGCCCTGGGCGACTCTCAGGTGCTCAGACTCAACATTACCAACCACAAACATCTTTCCACAGGTTCTGCTTCCGACGTCCCAGTCTCAAGGGTGGAACCACCACTCCTGGTCCCAATGACTGGCAGCCTCAGTTGTGACGGGTCGCTCCTCTCTTCCCTCTGAGACAGGACTGGGCCAGAAGATCCAGCAAGAGCCAGAGAGCTCCCAAACCAGTCCCTCCTGCTCCGCTGCCCCATATCTTCCCCTTGTTTCTGCTCCTTCTCCAGGAAGCCACTTGCACTCCCTCACCCCCCTAGGCTCATACTCCTCTCCACTGCTCCCCTGGCCTATATGGGGCTCCTGGAACAATGAGAAGATGGGACGTGAGTCTGGAAGGGAGAACCAATCGACTGGGGAGGCTGGAATCCCAGGGTCCCGAGTGTGGCCTTGCGTTACAGTCAGGAATGAGAGCCCAGCGAGGGTAACAGAAGCAGGGGTGAGAGCTCTGCCTGCCTGCCTCGGTCCTCACTTCTTGGCATCATCTCCCCTGGGGCTGATGCCTGCTCCCCCCAGGGTCCCTGCTTTCTTCTCTGCCTGGGCCCCAGACGCCCTCCAGAGTGAGCCTGTTCGGTCCACCTCTATATAGCCTGTGAACTGTGTTCAGGGGGTGGGCAATTATCCTGGAAGAAACAGGAACCCCCAGGGACAACTCCATTAGGAACTGCCATGGGTCAGACCAGGGTTCTGGTGGGGTGTTTGAGGGGCAGGATGGGGGAGAAGTTGTGTGAGGAGGTCTGATCAGAGCCTGGTCCCCTGCCCACCTGCAGGCTTGGGCTCCTCTTCAGGCTGGTCTCTGCCCAAGCCTCTTGTTCTGCATTGCCCGAGGCACGAGGGCTTTTGTCCCCAGGAAGTCCAGGTAGGGCCAAGAACTAGGTGGGAGGAGTTTGGCTTCTGCCCCGTGCAGGGTCAGGCTGGCCTCTGCCCCTTGATGCGCAGGCTGTGGGAGGGCGCTCGAGCATGTAGCTGGCCGGCCAGCAGGCAGGGCCCTCGAGCAAACAGTTGCTCTATCCACACAGGTTCTGTGATGCTTGGGGTAGCTTGGCTGCTGGTACTCCTGCTGGCCCTGCTGGGGGCTGCCCTGCTCTTCTGGCAGCATGCTCCAGCACGGAACAAGATCCCCAGGGCACAGAAGCGTAGGGGGGTGGCACTGCAGCAGATGGAGGCCCTGGCCCAGCGTTTCTGGCAGCAGGGGAGCGGACGCCTCTCCCAAAGGCCCCCCAGCCCTCCATCCCAATAGGCGGGTCCCACCTCGGGACCATTGCCCCATCCCCTTCAGAAGACAAGGAGCCTGGGGCGGGGGGCAACCCCCTACCCCCAGCTCTCCCCATGCTGGCTTTTTGTATTGCTGTCAGTTCCTCCTCCATCCATGTACTTCCAACCCATTGAGATTGGGTGCCATGGGTTTTCTTTGTTTTCCCAGTGCCCACACAGGACTCAGTAACGTGGTGGGTGTTCACTTGAGCTTTTTGTTGAAATAAGATAAACTGGGGGGCGCCCGGGTGGCTCAGTCGTTAAGCGGCTGCCTTTGGCTCAGGTCATGATCCCAGGGTCCTGGGATGGAGCCCTGCATCGGGCTGCCTGCTCAGCGGGATGCCTGCTTCTCCCTCTCCCACTCCCCCTGCTTGTGTTCCCTCTCTCGCTGTGTCTCTCTCTGTCAAATAAGTAAATAAAATCTTAAAAAAGGAAAAGAAAAGAAAAGAAATAAGATAAACTGATGGAAGCAATTGGAGGCAGGAGGTCTTCTTTCAGGTCTCTTTTAGCCCCTGAGTACCCCCACACCCCACTGACACAGGAACCCTGGTCTACACGTTCTCCTTCCCATCCCCCTGCCCCCAGGTTCTGCAAATGTTTGAGAGCACCTGATACGTGCAAAGCACAGGGTGGTCACTGGAGATGGGGTCCTCCCAGGAAGCTCTGTGTCTTAAAAGGGACTTTTGACAGCTTAGGTGGGGACACTTCAAGGCACTGGGTCAATCATCGTGGCTGGGCTGGGACTTGAAGGTGAAGGGACTGAGCTGGGGGTGTCGCAGCAGACCCTGCCTAGAGTAGCAGAGAGCAGGGTGGGAAGGAGAGGCAGCCCACCTTCCATTGTGCTTGGGGTCTGCTGTGGGGCCTGGAAGACGTGACAGCCCCTTCCTGGGCTCCCCAACTGCCCTACGAGGGGTGGGCTCATGGTATCTTAGGGTCCCCAACTGTGGTTGATGGTGGCAGACTCCCTGGGAGTTCTGGGAGTGGGGGTTGGGGATAATGCCTGAGGTGCTATCCCCATGCTCTGGAGTTCCTGAGTGTCCTCTGCCGTCCCCTGGATGGTGATTGATGGCCCCAAGGGGCAGCTTCTCTGCCCGAGCTGCTGCAGTTCCTGAGAATGTGTATTAATATTAATTGGGGCTAATTAGTTGGATAAATCAATCTGCCCCCAGAGAGCAGCTGCCCCTCCCTGGTTGGTGAGCAGGAAATCTGGGCTAATGGGGTTGCTGTGGTGAATCAGTGTGATGGAGAGGATTCGTGTGCGTGTGTGCGTGCATGCGCACGTGTGTGTGCACATGCGCGTGCACAGTGGTGTATTTGGGTCCCTTCACTGCACACACCAGAACCTGCTTATGGGTGCCTCCTGCTGGCTCTTTATTTTATTTTTATAATATTATATATAATATATAAAAATAATATATTTTTATATATTAATTTATATTTATTTTATTTTATTGTGTGCTGGTTGAGCGGTGTGCCCGGCTGTGTGCTGCTTGTGTTTGGTTATGGGCTTGTGGTGTGTGTGCCTGGCTGGGTGTGTATGTGTTGTGTTACAGGTGGGAGTGTGTACATGTAGATATGTGTGGCTGGTTTGGGTCTGAATGTTTGGTTGAGCATGTGCCTGTGTGGTCAGGCGTCTGACGTGTGAGGACATCCGCTTCTGTGTAGGTCTGGGCATCTGCCTGGTATATGTGTGGGCATCTGGCATGTAGAGCTCTTGGGCTGGGTACCTGGCCAGGGGGTGTGCGTTTGCTTGGCTGGAGGAGTGGAAGGGGTTTGGGGTGAGGTCATCCCTGGTGTCTCCAGCTTCTCCCCAAGGCTACAGACCTCTTGGCATTCAGTACCTTATTCTCTTCCCAACAAAGCTGCACAGGTCCGTCCTGGGCACCTTCCCCTCTGCCAAGGATACCCTCAGGGCCTCAGGTGTCCAGCTTTATGTCCCAGGGAGGTAGGAGGCTGAGACATAGGTCAAACCCTGGCAGGGTTCAAACAAATCCAATTCAGTTCAGCTTAGCAACATCTTGCAGAGGGCTCCTCTGGTCTTGCCTTTTGCTGGGCCTTGGAGACAGATTCATAATCAAGATGAATCTGACATCTGACTTCAACTTGCATTAAAGATGCTCCCGGTCTGAGTGTAGCATGGTGGGAACAGAGCTATGCAAACTGTGATGGGAGGCAGCTCAGCTGAGTGTGGCGAGGGCCAAATGCCCGCAGAACTCTGGGACCCGGCAGGAAGGGCTTTGGTCCATCTGGAGAGGGTTGGGTGGGGAAGCCTTCATGGAGAGGTGGTGTTGGAGCTGAGCCTTACAGGATGTGTAGGAGTTTTCCAAAAGGAGGAAGGAAGAGGAAAGACAGTACCTGAGCGAGAAGAGCCTGAGATAAGGCAGTGTTTCTGTAGAGCTCATAGAAAATAATACTCAGAGTCCACTGGGGTAAATGGACAGGCTGCTCATGGCTGAAGGCTGCTGGCTAGGAAGCTCTGGTCACCTCAGGAGGACATGAGCCCCCCTGATGGCTGAAGGTTTTGATGATATTAAACATGTTTCACAACTGCTTTGGAAATATTAATAATACATCAATTAACTAACAACTTTAAAATGTATTTTCTTTGATTTTTAAACCACGATAGGAGGCAGCACCAGTGAGTGCGGAGAAGGCCAGATGGGGCTGTGGAGCCGTGGGACTTGGCAGGAGGGGGATTTGTTCTAAACCAAAGTATATGTTAAAATGACTTGAAAGTGAAATAAGTTGAGGCTCAGTTCTATCAACTTATCCTAATAATTTCCAAGTGATCTCTTAATTTATAGAAAACTTGTGGGGATCTTTTGATGTGGCTCACATCTTTGGAAGATTTCCCTATCTTTCAAAGCTCTCCCAATAAACTGAGAGTCATTAGGTGACTTGTAGTCTCATTAAATAGAGACTTTCTGTCGACATCATGGATGTCACTCCTTGTATCGAGTCCTTGCTTGGCTTCTGCCAAACCTGTAGCAATTATACTTACAGTCCTCTAGCTGTTCTAATGCTGAGATTCTATTAATCAAGCATCTCTGTTGTCAGCTAAGTCATAAACATTGTTATTAGAATGCCATCATAAGGGACGCCTGGGTGGCTCAGTCGGTTAAGCGTCTGCCTTTGGCTCAGGTCATTATCCCAGGGTCCTGGGATCGAGCCCTGCATCAGGCTCCTTGATCAGCAGGGAGCCTGCTTCTCCCTCTGCCTGCCACTCCCCCTGCTTGTGCTCTTGCTCTCTCTCTCTCTCTCACTCTCTCTCTGGAAATAAATAAATAAAATCTTAAAAAAATAAATAGTCTATCTTAAGAAAAAAAAAAGAGTCGTCCAACTGACTGCACCACCCAGGTGCCCCTGATGCATCTATTTTTTTTTTTTAAGATTATTTATTTATTTATTTGACAGAGACAGAGATAGCGAGAGCAGGAACACAAGCAGTGGGAGGGGGAGAGGGAGAAACAGGCTTCCCCCTGAGGAGGGAGCCCAATGTGGGACTCGATCCCAGGACCCTGGGATCATGACCTGAGCTGAAGGCAGACGCTTAACAACTGAGCCACCCAGGCGCCCGATGCATCTATTTTTTAAAAAACTCCTTTGTGCCTTAACATCCTCATCTCTACAATGGGGTGATGATTATAATGATAGTAGTCGAGTGAGTTCATAATGTTTATAGTGGTGCCTGGTACACAACAAGAACTACCTAAGTGAGAGCTTTCACTTTATTTTTTTATTTTTATTTTTTATTAACATATAATGTATTATTTGTTTCAGGGGTAAGGTCTGTGATTCATCAGTCTTACACGATTCACTAGCTCTCACTGTAGTAATAATAAAACTAATGTTATCCTTGCTGGGTGGGTGTTTAGTGAGTTTCGATGAATTTGTTCTATTACGGAAAGGACACTAACTGGGTTGGTGGCTGTATTACTGGGCCCTTGGCAGCCCCGCCCATCCCACCAAGTCACTGGAGTGCCTGCCATGCCAGCAGAGGGGCAGTCCCAGCAGCCGCCTCCAGTGGCCATTAACTCCCTCTGCTTGCTCTCCCCACCTCTCCCCAGCTCCCTGAGAGGCTCCCATTTTTACAAGTGGCCATGTGAGGACAACTGCAGGGGAGCGGTAACCTCAGGGTCCCAGATGGACACTGGGCACTTGCCCAGAGGGGTGTCATCTCTCCAGGTAGATATGTAGGAATTGGGGGCTGACATGTAGCCTTGATGGGTGCCTGTGGGTCAGCGTGTGCTGGGATGGTCCCTGGAGGGTCCTACTGGGGCTCCTTAGGGCTGGGGGGAGCAGGGCAAGGGATGAGCTCAAGCTGGCTCTTCAGAGTCCTTGAGGGAATCAGGGGCTGTGCCTAGAGGGTCCCTGCTGGGCCGGGCATTAACCTTTTACCTGCTGGACTGTGAAGAGAGGGCAGAGTCCCATGGCAGGCGCTAGGGCAGCTGGGGGTGGTGGGAAACTTGTGGGAGTGGTTTTTTGCTAAGTGACTCAGAAGGATTTCCTTTTAGCCACAATGCAGCCATTGAGGTGCATTCTAGCCAGTTGCCCACTCTATTCTAGAGGGATCTGTGTCTGGGCCCTTCTGAAAGTTCTTGTGGCATACAGGTGGGGGAGTTCTGAGCTCAGGCACTAAGATGTCCTTCCCCAGGTCAGATCACCAGGAGTGGGAAGGCTGGATAGGAAGGAAAGTTGGGATGTCGGGGTGCCCCCCTGAAGGCAAACCCTATAGAGATGAACCTCACTTCCATAACCCCTGAGTCCCAGAACGTGCAGATAGAGTCACGCCCACTGCCGTTGTGCCCATTCTGGGTAGCAACATGAGGGGGCAGGCCCTCCTCTGTGCCCAGGCTGGGCACTGGGGAGGCAGAGACAGAGGGAACATCCAGGACTTTCATGCCAACTGGGACACCGATCAGGAAATGTGCTTCATGCTAAGGATGAGTCCAGGAGCGTGTGCTGAGCACATGGATGGGTGTGCAACTGCGTATCCGGTGGCGTGTGAGGAGGTGATGTTGAGTATGTGCGAGTGGACTAGAGCGAATCAGTCATCGACCTCTGCCCTCCCATCTCCACAGGAACCCTCCCTGAACCCCAAGGCCATCCTGGAGCTGCCCCTGAAGAGTCTGGCCCAGAAGCTGGAGGATGAAGAGCTCAGTCTGGAGAGTGTCCTCGGTAGCTACTTAGAGGAGGTGGGGGTCGGGTCAGGAGTGGGGTGGGGGCTGTCACCTGTGTCTTCCTCACAGGACGTGGGGGCCAGCGTAACATCATGGCACCACAGCTGGCTTGGGAGGGGGTGCATGCCACAGTCATGCTCTGAGTCAGGGTGCCGGGTGACTGAGTACCCCATGTCTGGCTTCAACCTGAGCCCCTTATCTGGTCTCCCTCAATGTTGTTCAGGCCCTGAAGGTACATAAGAAGGTAAACTGCCTGACGGATTTCCTGGGCGAGTGTGAGGAGAAACTGCAGGCATTGAAGAAGCTCAAGAAGACTGAGAGAGGCCTTCTCTATGGGGTTCCCATCAGCCTCAAGGACACCTATGACTGCAAGGTGGGCTGGGTTCACATGCGTACACATATGTGTGTGTGCCCATACGTCACTGAGCCTGTGAGCATCTGAGTGTGTGACATTGGGCGAGTTATGTAATCAAGGAGGCACAACTAGAAAGTGGCAGCTAGGATCTGAACCCAGTAGTCTGGCTCTGACCCACCATGGTCTTCTGCCACTTGGGTGAATTCTCCTAAGGGTGCAGCACATGTGTCTCAGAGGCGTGGAGTGGGAGCAGAGTGAGGAGGAGAGTCTGTCCACTGGGCGGTTGCATCCTGACCCCTATGGGCTGGAGTTAATGTCACTTCCTTGCAGGGCCATGACTCTACGTGTGGCCTGGCCCAGTTCCTGGAGAAGCCTGCGGCCAAGGATGGGGTCATTGTGAAAGTGCTCAAGGCTCAGGGAGCTATTCCCTTGGTTAAGACCAACATCCCCCAGACACTGCTCAGGTCTCTGAAATGGGTAGGTGGGGCTGGGTTTGGAGGTGGGCCCAGGACTGACAGCAACTTAAAGTCCTGATTCAGGGCAGAGGGTGAGGTGGGGGCCACTCAAGCAGACCGTGAGGACCGAGGTTCTTGTGCAAGTCTTTCCTGCCCCCTGAGCCTCGGTTTCCTCATCTTATAATGTGTGGGCGGACTTCATAGTCTCTACAGGCCCTCAGGCTCTGAGGTTCTGAAGAGTTTCATCTCTGTGTTTACCCCAGCTTTTCTCTCCTCTCCCGTAGCATTTAGCGTACCTACTCTTGCGAGGAACCTGTTCCCAATTCTGACAGCAGGGCTGGGGGCTCCTGTCCTTAAGTTAGGAGTTGTGGTTGGTGTCCACTCTTGCTCTTCCTTGTGGCAGTGGGCCCTCACCTCAGCCGTAAAGGAGCCTAGGAGGGCTCAGCCCTGGCGAGGAGCATGGGAGCCAAAGCGGGCCCGGGGTTGACTCCTGAGGGGGTCAGTCTCTACACGGGGAGGGACGTTTCCCCAGTTAAACTTTCACCTCCCAGCCCCTTTTCTTCTGCTTCCGTCAGCTTTTATTGCAGCAACCCCATCTATGGACGGACCCTGAACCCTCTGAACTGAAAGAAGACACCTGGGGGTTCCTCAGGGAGTGAGGGAGTCATGCTGGCACAAGGGGGTTTCATCCTGGGCATGGGGTCCGACATTGCTGGCAGCATCCGCATACCAGCCAGCTTTTGTGGGGTCTGTGGCTTCCGGACCACGGGATACCGCCTCAGGTACTTGGTGCTGGTGATGGGGGGCGGGGGGGCTCAGCCCAGCCTAGGGGAACAGAAGTCTGGGGGAGTAGAGGGGCCTGCTTGGCACATCAACTCTTATCCACTCACCTCAGTACTAGGGGAAGTGGCTAAAGGTAGGAGAGCTTCAAATAACTCCTGCTTCAGCCCCAGATCAGCACGCCATGTCTGGTGTAGGTGGCAGAGAAAAGACCTTCCACTCGTTCATTAGTTCATTTGTTCATTAATTCATTTGTCTTTACATCTACCCATCTACCTACCTGTTCCCTTAGTCACTCATTGGTCCATCCATTTTCCCATCTATCCATCCTTTGCCTATTCATGCACCTATGCAATCATAATCCCAGTTTCTATCCATCAATCAATTTCACTATTCATCCACCATTTAATTTATCTAACAAATATTTATTGAGTGTTTACTTTGTGACTGACACTGTACTAGGTACTTGGGATATATCGGCAAACAGAAGGACAGATATCCCAGCCCTTGACAAATTTATACACATTCTTCCTTCCATTCGTTAATTCATTCACTCATCCATTTATCTCCCCATCCATCCACTGCCTCTGTTCCTTCAGCCACCCACCTTTCAGCCTCCCCTGCCCCTGCCGAGTACCTACACTGTGGTGGCCCTTGTGCTGGGGACACAGAACACTCTCGGACCCAGTCACTGCCCTTGTAGTGCTATTAGACATGCAAATGGCTGAGTCAGAAAGTGATGGGGCTCTAAGAGAGGGTCAAAGGCTTGTGGGAATTCACAGGATGAAGCTGACCTTTTCTTCAACAGAGATTTATTAAAAACCTAGACTTTAAACCTTCAGAAGCAGGGCAAGGGAAGGGAAGGCTTCCTGGAAGAGGCAGAATCTGAGCTTGGCTTTGAAGGATGGATATGCAGAGATGGCGTAGAGTCTAGAAGGCTGTAAACTGTGAGCAACTTACTTTGCCTGGAGTAATACGTGTGTGTGGAAGGTCTAGAAGGGTACGCTGTGGAAGGAGCTGACACTCCAGAGCCTTGAAGGCAGTCAAAGAGATCAGAATTAATGCTGTGGGCAGTAGGGGTCACGGCAGGGTTGTAGCAGCTCCTCTTCCTGGGTGCTGGGTCCTGGGGGAGTGCTTGGCTGGCTACTAAAGCCTTGGGTCTCAGGCCAGTCCCTTCAAGTGCTGAGCAGGACTCTGGGTGGGCGGGGTTTTGCAGCTACTCTGGAACCGCCTCTGCTGTCAAAGGCAAGAAATCAGGTAAACTGGCTGTGCCCGTGGCCACACCCATTCAAAGATAACCTGTCAGCCTTCCTCCCAAGGACATTTCACTCAGCCCCTATCTCAGACACATTAGCCCCACTGGTGATAAAGCAATCTGAAGGGATAGCATGGCTCCCATCCGGCCTCCCCCAAGTCCAGTGAGAAGTGCTTCCTACTATCTAGCTTTAGCCTCTCCTACTTGTCTCTTATTGTTCTGCCCCAGCTAAGAGTCTCCTGTCAGGCACCGAGCTGCTTTGGCTGGTGTGCCAACTCTGCCTGTCCCCAACCCCTGACCCAGGTTGGCCCCAGGACCCTTTGACCCTGATCATGGTCTTGGGCCCCACCCTCTGAGGCCAGGCCGTGGGGGTCCCCAGAGCGGAAAGGATGAGAGGAATCTGCCTCCTTTCTGTTCAGTGACTACAGTGGCTGGCCCCATGGCCCGGGATGTGGAGAGCCTGGTGCTGTGTATGCGAGCCCTGCTAAGTAAAGACATGCACCGATTGGACCCCACTGTGCCTTTCATGCCCTTCAGGGAGGAGGTGAGCTGGGTTGGGGAGCGGGCCTGGAGGACTCCCACCTCTCCCCTCCTTTCTTTCCTCATTGACATGTCTACCATCTGGTCAGACTGCTTTTCCCAGCCCAGGGTACAGTGACCAAGAAGCCCACATGTTCAGTCATATTCACCTCCCATCTCTGCTGGACACCAGCTGCTTTGGCCTCTCAGCTGCTTAGACCCATAGCTAATACTGCCCCCAGAGAGGGACTCCATCGTCATAGACCCAACACACACACAGACATAACACTCAGCAGGTGTGGTTTAGAGAGTCTCCCCATCCATCCACTCATCTAGCCACTATCTGGTTAAGCTGGGCTTCCAGTCCTCTAGGTAACCTCGGCCAAGTCACATCTCTTTTTAGGCCCCAGTCTCCCCAGTGGTATAATAAAGAGGTTGGACCAGAAGATTGCTCCAGGCTCTGCCAGTTTTGGCAGGCTTCATTTATTCATTAGTTTATTCAACAACATTTATTAGTACCTACTATGTGCAGGCTCTTTGTAGTTCATCCTAACACTCACTCTATAGAATGAGCATTGTGCTTCTCATTTACAGGCAAGGAAACTGAGGGGAAATGAAGTGACTTGCCTATGATCACATAGCTAGTAACTGGCAGAGTTGGGCTTTGAACCCAGCCCTATCTGCTCTAGAACCCTCTCCACAGGGAGAGTCTCTGTCTACCATTCAGTCAATGTCTACTCATCTGATCTCTACACACATCCTAATGCAATCAACCTGTGATCATTTTCTGTCACCCATTATTTGCCTCTACTAATTTCTCCATCTCCATCCTCTCCTGGCTGTTTTTTAGCGTAAGGGTCTTTGTGTCTATTCACCTACTTACTTACCTGCCCCTCCTCAATTCCAACCACCCATTCTTCCACCCACCCATCTATCCATCCAATCCTCTGCCCACCGACCCATTCACCATCTCATACATATGCCCATCCACTCATTCATGAATCTATCTACCATCTATCTGCCTATCTACCTCATCCACTCAATCATGTCCCCATCCATTTGCCCTTCCAGGGGTTTCTCCAGAGGACCTAGAGCCTGGAAAGTATATAGAGAGGCTCCAAGGGGGTCTTAGGGAGTTTCTGTAGATTCCCCTGGGTTGAAGACAGCTGTGGCCCAAGGTCCCAGTCTGGCTCTTGAAGAGGCCTCAGTCTCTTCTGAGACCCACCCAGCTCTTCTTGCCCACAGGTATACTTCAGTAACCAGCCCCTTCGAATTGGCTACTGTGAATCAGATGGCTTCACCCAGCCAACTCCTAGCATGGCCAGGGCCATGAGGCTCACCTCCAGGCTGCTCCAGGATGCAGGACATCAGGTAGGCTTGCATAGCCTGGATTGGGAGGGAAGCCAGACTGGTGAGGATGCTGGGCTGGGCCATTCTTGGAGAGAAAAGAAGTTATATCTGAGTCTGAGCTGCTAACATCACTGTGTTTCCCCTAAGTTTCCTGGAGAAAACTGATGGACTGCAGGTGGGGGCAGGGTGGGCCCACCCTGTGAGGAAGGCATCAAGATCTTGCAGTTTCCCCCTTCAGGGATGGTGACTCAGGGACTCACTCCCATAATTCTTATAGCCTGGGTTTCTGTTGCGTCTATCAAATGGCTGTGAGGAGATCCCTGTCCTCAAAATCCCCTTCCTCTCCCACCCCCACCCCCTGCCTCCCACACCCATTGGCTTGTCCTGGTCCTGCCTCCCCTTGGAGAATTGCTGGTTGGCGACACATGGACCTATGTAATCTTGGACCAGTCTCATAACCCCCCTGAGCCTCAGTTTTCTACCACATGGGGCGGCTGTGAAGGTTAAATGAGCTCCCATATGTGAAACACATGGCCTGGGGCAGGATCACAGTGAAGCAGGCAGGAAATGAGGGTTGCTTGAATGCCATGGCGTGTCCGTGGGGGGTGAGGGAGTGTCATGGCAGCGGAGGGGCTCAGGTGGATGGAGACCGGTGGTGATGTGCTATCCTCTCTTTAAATCCTGAGGGATGCAGACAATCCCGGGAGGGGTGGGAAGCGCTCCAGGCCCTGACTCCGCCTCTGTCTCCCAGGTCATCCCCTTCTCCATCCCCCGTGTAGAGTATGCTGTCGAACACCTGTTCGTGGGACATCTGTTTGCCGATGGAGGGGCCACCCTTCTGGAGAAGATGTACATTTGTCAGGACTCAGATGTAGGGCATGGGGCTGGGGACAGGGCTGGTGGTGACCTGAGCCCTAGGAAGGGACTGTGTGGGCCTGGGCTGGTGGGATGCCTCTGGTTAATTGTGTGACCTTAAACAGCAAGTCAGCAACCCAGGCCCCGTCTTCAGGATGTGCGTGTTCCAGGGGTGGTGCTGGTGGGAACAGAAGTGTTTCTTTGGGTCTCACCTCCTTCCATGGCTTCCCTCTGGAGTGGGAGTTGGGTGGGGATGAGAGCCAGTTGATGGCTGAAATGCTGTCACTGACCGGATACGCGTCTGTGGTTCCTCAGTGAGGGGGACATTGTGGACCTTTGCATAAAGACAATGATCAATACGCTCCGCCTGCCAGACCCTCTCAAGTGTTTCTCAGCCTATATCCTGAAGTACATAGTGAGTGTGGGCCGAAGGTGGGGGAGGCATTCAGGAGGGGAGAAGCCCACAGAAGAGAAGGACTCAGAATGGGGCCCAGAGAGTAGTGGGGGCTCAGAGAAGAGGAACTGAAAAGGCTAATGGGGGCCAAAAGAGAGCGGTGCTTTTAGAGAGAGGGGTGCATCTCAGAAAGAGGAAGGGGTTTTAGAGAGGGGGTGGGGGCCTAGAGGGGGCTAAAGGCTTTTGGAGGAGTAGAAGCTTCTGCAGAGTTGTTTTTTCTGGACCCCAATTCTGGGCAGACTGGTGTTGCCCTGTGGTTTCTGAGTGGTTCTCTCCTTCTCTCCCCATCTCTAGGATCCCCGACCTAGCAAGAAGTTGAAAGAGATTCGTGGAATGGGCTGAGTGCTAGTCTCCTCAGGTGAAGCTCACAGGCATCTTCCATGGGGTGGGGGGAATTAAGTAAGGGCCATGTGGCTAGAGTTGGCATCCACTGGGGACAAGGGCTGTTTAGACTTTGGGATCTAATTAGGTTTTTAGGGTTATATCTGACACTGGTTAAATTTAGGCTTTTGAGTGGGGTTGAGATTGGGGCTACTTTGGGGCTGGGGTTTGATTTGGAGTTAAGCTCTGAGCTCAGGCTAGAATTAGCTTAGGCTGGGGTAAAGTTTGGGCTTAAGTTGAGATTGGGTTTGGGTTTGGGTTGAGGTTAAGGTTGGAATTGGGGCTGGAGTAGCCTGAGGGCTGACTGGGGGCCTCAGGTTAGGGGAAGAACCTGTAGCTTTGGGGGGAGCCTGTGAGTCCCTGTGGCTGGTGGTGGTGGTGGGGGGGGGGGGCATTGACCAGAGAGTGTGGACTCTTGGGAGCACTGGACAGGCAAGGTGTTTTGGTCAGTGAACAAGACACAGGGTCATTCCCAGCCCATCAGCTGATTTGCAGCCTACATGGAGACTAGGCTCTAGCTCTTGGTTGTAATGTCCCAATTTGTCTAAAAGGGAATCCTCCCATGCTGACCTTTGGACTTCCGTGTCTTATTTATTCCCCCAGGACTCCCAAAAAACTGTGGGAACATCACACAGCAGTGGAGGTGATGTGTGCCTGAAGAGACCTCAAGGGACTGCTGGAGCGGGGGCAGCAGAGACCTGGGTGGTGACAAGAGTGGCCAGATTGGGGGTGGGCTACACCTGGATGGGGAGGCTTGGGGACATGGGAGGTTAATTTAGTCCATCTCTTTGGGGCCAGGATGATAACGTTGTTCCCAAATAATTGCAGCCCGAGACTCCCCTTCCCATCCCTTCACCTCAGCCCCTGGGAAGGCCCTGACCCCTCCTCCTGCCCCCCAGATATCTTAGGGCACATCTCACAGCCTGGGAATTCTTCCTGATGTTGAATGCCACTGGGCTTGGCAGCACCTGACCTTGTCTTGCAAACAGTGACTTCTGCTGGTCCCACCCCTCACTGTCCCTGCAGGAGTATCAGCAAGAGTTCATAGCCAAGTGGAGGTGCTTGGACCTGGATATTCTGCTGACACGAGCGCTGACCCCTGCCTTCTCTACAGGCCATTCTAGCATGGCATTAGGTGAGACGAATCTGGGTCCTGATGGGGTTGAGACCCGGAGCCTAGGGCTTCAGAGTCCTGCCACAGCTTCTGTGGCCTTGACCTCTGTCACCATTCACGATTAAAAAAAAAAAAATTCTTAAATTGAGGTAAAATTCAGATAACATAAAGTCACCATTTTAAAGTGTACAATTCCGTGGTTTTGAATGTATTTAGAATGCTGTGTAAATACTACCGCTATCTAATTCCAGAACATTTCCGTTATCTTGAAAAGAAACCCTGTACCCATGAGCGGACACTCCCAATTTCCATTCACTTTTTTTTTTTTAAGATTTTATTTATTCTTTTGAGACACAGAGATACAGAGAGAGCATGAGCAGGGAGAGAGGCAGTGGGAGAGGGAGAAGCAGGCTCCCCGCTGAGCCAGGAGCCCAATGCCGGGAGGGATCCCAGGACGCTGAGATCATGACCTGAGTCGAAGGCAGACGCCCAACCATCTGAGCCACCCAGGTGCCCCTCCATTCACTTTTAAAATGAATTTTATTGAGGGGCGCCTGACTGGCTCAGTCAGTAGAGCATGGGATGCTGGATCTTAGGGTCATGAGTTCAAGCCCCCCTGTTGGGCGTAGAGCTTACTTAAAAAAGAAAAAAAAAGAAAGGAAAAAAAACGAACTTTACTGAAATATAATTCACATGCAGTGAAACCCACCGACTTTCAGAGTGTAATTTGATAAATTTTAACAAATGCATATAGCTGTATAACTACCACCATAATAAAAATATAGACTATTTTTTATCATCCACCACATTTCCCTGATGGCCCTTTGCAGTTCACCCTATCCTTGCAAACTGCAACCACTGAGCCGCTTTCTGTCACTATAGTTTTGCTTTTTCTGGGATTTCATATAAATGGAATCAGAAGGAAGGAGGCTTTTGGGTCTGGCTTCTTTCACTTAGCGTATGCATTCACCCTTAACGGGCTTCCTGCTGCCCCACTTTAAAAGGTAGCTTTGGGGTGCCTGGGTGGCTCAGTTGGTTAAGCAACTGCCTTCAGCTCAGGTCATGATCCTGGAGTCCCTGGATAGAGTCCCACATCGGGCTCCCTGCTCGGCGGGGAGTCTGCTTCTCCCTCTGACCCTCCCCCCTCTCATGTGCTCTCTCTCATTCTCTCTCTCTCAAATAAATAAATAAAATCTTTAAAAAAAAAAAAAAAGGTGGCTTTGGCCTAGCCCCCCTGAAGTGAAGCCTTGGCACAAGGCAGTTTCTGGGCCAATGCTGGGGCCCCTGCCCAGCTCAGGTTCAGGCCTCAGCGGTGTTATCAGTGCAGAATGAAAACCAACCCACCTCAAGCCTGGACTCCTCTTCCCTGGGCCCCCCCACAGTGGCTGCCCCAAAGCACATCCCACACCCAGCCCTGCATCCATGTCCTCTGCTGACATCACTGCCCCCTCTTTGTCACTCATTCCCTGCAAACAGGTGGCTGCTGCAGGGGAGCTGCCTTCTAACTCAGGGTTGCCCTCCCTGCACGCTTCAGCCATCCTCAGCCGTGTGGTCTGTGAAAACCCAGCTAACTTGGCAACCACCTCGGTTTCCTCATTATACACAGGGACGAGCCAAGTCCGCCTCACAGGGGTGGAGAGGACTCAAGGAATCAGTAACGGAGAGAGGCCAGCACAGTGCCTGGCACAGAGGAAGGCTTCAAGAGCATCCATCCTCTCCTTCCCTCCACTGTGGGGCGGGCAGGAAGCCGTGGTCAGGTGATTTCCCGGCCCCAGACGGGGAACGTTGCAAGCCCAGAGGGCTGCAGTTCCGAGAAGGACCCCGAGGGGGCGCTCACCCAACACTCTTCCCCACCTGCGTCTTTCGTCCCCTGACCTGGGCTGGCAGGGATCTTCCTACAGACGTCGCCTCCTGCTGGAGCCTGTACAATGTCCTGAACTTCCCCGCTGGCATGGTGCCGGTCACCGCGGTGACGCTGCAGGACGAGGAGGAACCGGCCTTCTACAAGGGATACTACGGAGACAGTTCTGACAAATCTTTCTGGGAGGTCAGTTTCCCTCTCCATACCTCTCCCCCAGGGGCACAAGCCAGGACTGAGTCTTGCCTCCATCCCAGTCCGAGCGAGTGGGAGTGGGGTGGGGCCAGTCATTCCTACTGTTTATCCTTTATCACTTCTGCTGCAGTTTCACCCCATCTCTGAGGACACACCCTCTGAGCTCCAAGTCAGCCTCTGTCCTTGTCCAGGGAGGATACTTTACAAAACCACGGGCTTCTTCTTTTTTTTTTTTTTAAAGATTTTATTTATTTATTTGACAGAGAGAGAGACAGTGAGAGAGGGAACACAAGCAGAGGGAGTAGGAGAGGGAGAAGGAGGCTCTCTGCTGAGCAGGGAGCCCGATGCGGGGCTCGATGCCAGGACCCTGAGATCATGACCTGAGCCAAAGGCAGACACTCAACGACTGAGCCACCCAGGCGCCCCAAACCACGGGCTTCTTGACACTTCCGTAGGGAAAGTTGACCCCAGAGGCAGGAAGAGTGGAGCAAATGCTGCTGGTTAGGAGCTTACCAGGGAACTGGACTGGACGCTCCTCCTCTCTGAGCCTCAACGTCTTTGCCAGGAAAATGGGAATTAAAATATCTACCCTGCAGAGTTGTCCTAAAGGTTCAATGGAAAAACAGTGAAGCAATCAGTATAAGGCTTTGTATATAGGAAGTGTCCAATAAATGCTACTATTACTAATTCAGAGGCGGCTTCACAAAAGGAAATATTTCCACGTGCATATTTAATGCATGATCTAAAATAACAATCCTGTCTTGGGTGACAGAGAGAAAGAGAGGGAGAGAGAGACTGACTCTGAAAAGTAGGTATGTGTCTGAGTCAGACATTAGGTAACTTACTTTTCTGGAAATTGATTTTAGTGCTAGAGTTACCCAGTGGAACTGCTGACCTGAATTCTGAGAAAATAATAATAATGACACTATCTAATGTGTCTTGAGCTCTTACTCTGTTCCAGGAACTGTTTAAAAGTGCTGTATATATATTAAATCATTAAATCCCCTAACTGTCCTGGGAGGTTTTACGAAGTTGGCAATGGGGGCGCACATAGGTTAAGAGACTTGACCCCTGCCGCCACGCCACGCAGGCAGGTGAAGCGGGGGGAGCCCGGACTTGAAGCCAGTTGACTTGACTCGTGACAGAGACAGATAAGGGCTTGTATCTTATCATCATAAAACAATGGAAACATGTTTGAATGCCTCTAAGTATGTTTGGATTTCATGGCAGACCCTCAGGTTCAGTCCCCATGTTCCCGAGTCTGTGTTTGGGGTCAAGGTACCTCTTTCAGTGCAGAAGTATGACCGGGCTCTGGATCAGGGATTTGCATATTCTTCTTTCCTTTGCTGAGAACATTGGGTGGATACTGTTTTTTTTATTTCATGATTGCCGTCAGCTGTCTGCACAGGGACCAAGTTTTGCATCTTAACCCTGGAGAACTAGAGACAGATAAAGTCAGAATAGTTTTTCCAGGTTTCCCTGAGAGCTGAGGAAGCCTGGGACTCTGAGATCCAGGACATCTCTACCTTAATGTAGATTGGGGATGAGATGTTTGGACTAATGCAGATGGGTGGTGAGGGAGGCTGGGCACGGGGCCTCTGAGCGGAGAGCAGGCTCTAAGCCCACCCACCTTCTCTCTGGGCAGGCGGTACAAGGATCCGTGGGACTTCCTGTGGCTGTGCAGTGCGTTGCTCTGCCGTGGGAGGAGGAGCTGTGTCTCCGGTTCATGAAGGAGGTGGAGACCTTGGCCAAGAACCACAGGGGACCTGAGTGATTTGGTCACTCCTCCTGGAGGCCTTCCTACATCCTCATCCAAGTCTGCTCCTGATGCCTCTTCTCATGAATACTATATCTGACTCATGTTTCCTCTTCCCAGAAGCCCACCAGATTCCTTTTCTTTGTTGTCCTTCTGCATGGTTACTCAATACACGGACTCCTCAGATTGGCTCAAGATAGGGCACAGGGTGAAGGGCTCAATAAACATTTCGGGCTGGCTGGCCTTGTGATCTCTGGTCTAGGTGGGGCTGTGGCCCCTGGTGGCCTTCTGCCTCCCACTACTCTCCTCCAGCTCAGTCCCCCAGATGATATCCCAGATCGCAGCAGAGGGGAAAGAGCCCCAGACAGAGAGGCTGGTGACCTGGGTCCAAGTCCTGGCTCTGCCAGTAGCTTGCTGTGTAATGCTGGGCAAAATACTTCCCCTTTCTGGACTTTGGGTTTCTCATCTACAAATCGAAGGGGTTAGATCTGATGAGGTCCATGGTACCTGTCAACGTGACTATTCTGTGACCTGTGACTTCTAGGCACTTCCCTGATCAAGAACTTGCCATGACTTCCACTGCTGTCTAGAGAAAGTTCCAAAGAGCAGGCCCAAGAGAATGAAACCCAGTCAGAACTGATCCTAGGTTGGGACCCAGACCCAAGCTCACAGTCCAGTGCTCAGCCTGCAAAGCGCCAGTTTCTTGGCTTGACACTCAGCAGCTCCCAAGATCCTCCACAGCGTCCACCACAGCACAGCCTCCCTTTCTTCCCTCTAACCGGAGCCTTCTTGTCACCACAAGCACACTTCGCACTTCTGCCTTTGTACCTGTCACACCGTTCCCTCCACCCAAACACCTTCACTGTCTTCTTTGTCCTTCAAGCCCTGAGTCAAATGCCACTTCCTTCAGGAAGCGTTCTTTGATCCCCCCTACTTCTCCCATGACTGTCCTTTCATCTGAACTCTCTTGAGGTCCTTCCCCGTTAAAGCTTACCCTTTCTGTATCTCACTCCTCTTTGCAGTCCTACTTCCAGCCAGCTCTGCAAACTAATGGACTCATTCCTCCCTGTGCTCGATAGCAGAGACTTTCTGGAGATAAAACCTCAATGCAGAGGAATAGATTTTCTCCATCCTCCCCATCCACCTATATAGCCATCCATCCTACATTTGTTGAGTACCTCCTCTGAACCCAAATGATGGAATTTCAGGCAGAAAAAGACCTGAGAGTTTAACTACGAAGGAATCACGCCAGAAGGGAAGTCCTGACTCCACCTACCACAGAAGGAAGCATCTGGGATGTCCAGGGGCAGGTGAGACAGGGCGATTGCTGACCTCACTGGGGCCTCTACCTCTTCCAGGCTCTACCACAGAGCCTGAGATCTCTGCTGGACAAGGAATCTCATGGTTTCTCCTCAAACAGGGCTAGTAGGGCTCCCGCTCTGTCCTCTCTCTCCCCATAAGAGGGAGGTCTAACAGGCCAGGAGAAAATGGTTGGGGTGGGGGGTGGGGGCAGAGAGGTTTTCTACCTCAAGTCCCTCCTGCCTCCTCTCTCACTCCCACAGGCTGCAAACAGTTTGGGCACCAGGGGGCAGCATTGAGCTTTACACAGCCCAGGCGGGCCTGAGCCTTCAGCTTTCAGATGCACTGTCTCCACGTCTTTCCCAGTCTAAACACAGATGGGAAAACTAGAGGCGGTAAGACCGAGATTGGCGAACATAGGAATAAGCTGGTGGTTTAAACTTTAGTAGATTATAAGACATAGGGGGCAGAATTCTATTTTTGTCTGAAATGAGCCTGGGGAAAGAGTGGCAGATACCAGCCCAAAGGGCCCAGTAAATGGGAAGCCTAGCCTCAGGCCAGATTTTCCTCCAGGCTGGGCTTTCTCTTGTTTCTCCGGAGCTGAAATTTGGGTCAACAACTGCCTTCCTCTGCAGCTCCAGCTCCAGTTCCTGTGCTGGCCTGTAACCTCTCACTACCTGCCAGCACCATCTTCAGCTGAAGTCACCCCCTGTCTGCGTGACTGTGGGCAGGTCATTGGCTTCCTCGGCGCCCTTTCCCATAGTGGCTGAGGCCGTGGGTGGGTGGGTGCGGATGGGATGTCCAGGGACAGGGCATCGCCTCCTTCTCCCCTTCCCACTCCTGTTACTTCCACTGCAGAAGGCTTGATCTGGGCGCGCAGGTGTCCAGCTTCTGGCTCAGCCTCCTCCGGGGCAGTGGGGAAGTCTCCCAGCTTCTTTGAGACTGCTTTTTCTGTGAGATGGAAATGATTACATCTGCCACAGCCACAGGATGAGACCGATCCACAGAGGGTGACAGCCGGGTGGGAGAGGACTCGAGGTCCCCTCCCCAGCCTGGGAGTCATTGCTGAGTGTCCAGCGTTCACCAGGAAGAGCCAGCTCCTGGAGGAGCCCGAAAGCAATAGGGTGGTGGGTCACTCCAGGGAGGGAATTTATTTATTTTATTTTATTTTAATTTTAAAGATTTTATTTATCTGACAGAGAGAGACACAGCGAGAGGGAACACAAGCAGGGGGAGTGGGAGAGGGAGAAGCAGGCTTCCCGCCGAGCAGGGAGCGGGGCTCCATCCCAGGACGCTGGGATCATGACCTGAGCTGAATGAAGGCAGGCGCTTAAGGACTGAGCCACGCAGGCGCCCCAGGGGGGGGGGGGGGGGGAATTTAGCTCCGAAACAGGGGAATTCCAGTATGAGGGGGTGTCCACAAAGGCTGGCACTGAGGCCCCTGGCTAGGACGATTTGGGAAGGGGTTGTCTTGAGTTCTGGTCTTGCTTCTGTGCTGTGAGATGCAGGTAAGAGCTATCCTCTTTCCGGGCCTCTGTTTCCCCGGTGGCTGCACGGGGCGGGGGGGAGGGGGGTGTCCTCCTGTCTCCCCGCTCCCCTCTTCGTTTGGAAGGCTCTGCCAGCCAGCCGCGCGTCGTCCCACCGGCCCAGGGACCGGCCGGGCCTCTCCACCTTACCCATCGCACACCAATTCCGTCACCCGGCGCGGTCTCGGGTGGCCGGGGCCGACAGACCCCCGCGGAGGCGCCCCCTCCTCTCCCTCCGGGCCAACAGAGTCCGGCTCCCTCCCCGGCCGCTTCGCCGCCAGCCCCGCGCCCGGGCCGCCCCGCCCGCCGCGCCTCCCCCGGCGCCCGCATTAAAGCGCATATGCAAGCCATGAATTATCAACTGAAAGGAGTCAATTACCGGCTCTAAAAACGAGTGTCTGCGCCCGGAGCGCCCGGGGCCATCCGCCTATTTACGGAGCGATTTCCCCCGCCCGGCCTCGGGAGGGATAGACGGGGAGAGATGGAGCCCGAGACCGGGAGGGAGAGAGCCACGGGGAGAGAGACTGGGAGAAGCAGAGGGCCAGAGACCCGCAGAGACGGGAGAGAGAGAAACTGGGACGGGAAGGAGGGACAGAGGTCTGGAGAAACACGCAGGGACTCAGAAGAGGCAAAGGCGGCTTGGATCCCTCTTCAACCGAGAGTCAGAGGTGGGGGCGTGGGGGTGGCGGTGGGAGGGAGCGACAGGACCTCAAAGGCCCTGTTTCCCCTCCCCCCGTCTGGGTGGGCACCCTAGCCCTCCAGGGCTGGGGGGGACTGGACTGCTGGCTGGAGCACTGGGGGAAAGTGGGGAGCATAGTTCTGGTAGGAAACTGGGGAGCAGGCTGTGGCATTGTTCAGTGTGGAGGTGAGCCAGCCAGCGTGATCAGGAGAAGAGGGAGGAGAGGTGAGGACCAGGCACAAAGTGAGGATAGAGTCTGACTTGGGGGTGTCTGCAGAGCCCCAGCATGGAGAGAGGGCTGGGGAAACCAGCCTCAGTGCGCTCTGGAAGTCCTGTCTGCCCCGCTGGGCTCCTACTCACTCTTTGACCCCTGTGCCTGCCTCAGCCCAGCACACACCCCATTCTAGTCCACGATCTAGGCCCTTCTCCACCAGACCCTGAGTGTGGCAAGGGCAGGGCCTTCCCCAACTAGGCCCTCTGGAGGGAGCTACAAGGAGCTACCTAAGTGTTGAATGAGTGAAGGGAGGAGTGAGCTGCGCTAGAGGGGACCCTGGCTTGGACTGAGGCTGTGACCAAGGCTCAGAGTTTGGAGAGCAAGGCTGAGTGTAAAGCACTCTGTACAGATCACGTGGAAAGCTCCCAGCCACCCTGGGGCTGGGGGAGGTCACAGCAACTGAGTCCAGCCCTTGCGATGCAGGGGAGGAGCAGGGGCACCGAGGCTGGTGGTGGGTGGGGTGGGGGGAGCTGAGGCCTAGCTCACCGGCACCAGTAAGTTGCTGCCGGAGCCCCCAGGGCTTGTACTTCCAGGTCCCTGGGATCCTAGGCCTCTCCTGGAAGGGGTGGGGATAGGGGACCCCCAGGAACTCTGAAGAAGGAGCAGGGTCTAAACTGGGCCACAGGGAAGAGTCTGGGCTGGGGTATTAAACAAAGCCCTCAACAGAGTCCGGCTCCCTCCCCGGCCGCTTTGCCACCAGCCCCGTGCCTGCCCCCCGCCCCAGCTGTGTGACCTGGGGCAAGCCCCTTAATTTCTGAGCCTCAAGTTCCTTAATCTCCAACACGGGGACCATGCTATCCACTTTCTAAGAACGTTCTCACGTGTGCATAGCACTTTCCCAAGAGGGAAAGTAAAGAATCAGAGCAGCTACTGTTGATTGAGGCTTACAAGGTGCCAATTGCCATGCATCCTGGATTCTCCGTATCTTCCTCCCAACCACTTTCCCATGATGTGAAGTCACTTTGCAGAAAGGGAAACAGGAAGAGAGGCTGCAACTGGGAAGCGATAGCCTCAAGGGTCGAAGCCAGGTCTGTCTCTAGAGCTTTCTTAACCCCTACACCACGCGGGACCTCCCAGACTAGGCCCAGTGTGTCCCCTGCCCTGTTCGCTCAGCCCTCCCAGTCTGAATGCGCCCCAATCTACTGAAGGGACGGCTGCCCGGTGGGCAGGACAGCTCAGGTCCAGCAGAGGCAGCCCCCGGGGGGTCCTGCTCCCCTCATGGCGTGGGCCGGGCGTCTGGCCGGACAAGTCTGCGGCCCTCCCGTGCCATTAGCGGGCAGCCAGAGGGGGTGTCGGCAAGCGCCAACGCTGGGGTTCCCGTGACCGCTCGCCTATTAGTGGCTGGTGGCTTCACAATGATTTATTGGGGTTTCTTCATTTCCCCTTGGTCTGCTATAAACATATTTATACCACCAGAGTGACCGATAAATTTCCCTTATGAATCCCGTTATCTCCCCCATTAACCATCCGTCACCTTTTATGCGGCCACCGTGGGCCAGGCCAGGGCAAGGGGGCTGGGTGGGAGGCCCGAGGCCAGCGCAGCCCACGGGCCCAGTGAACTCTTCACCTCCCCCACTGCTCCCCAGACAGTGGCGCTGCTGCCTTGGACCTGCCTCTAGCATGAGGACACGGGCCTTGGAACACACTGGACGGGCCCTTTGAAACGTGGCTTCCTCCTGGCTCTCAGAATAGGGAAGTGCCTCTCGGGGCTCACCCGCGTCTCCCCCACTGTCGCTCTGGCTTTGTCTCTTCTATGTGAGCCAGAGTCTTCTGAAGCTGCTGCCACGGCTTCCTCCCCCCGCCCCACCCCCAAGCTCCCTTAGGCCTCCAAGTGCCACAGAAAGCTAAGAAACAATGTGGTGCCAGAGGGCCAGCTGCCAGAGCCTGGGCATTGGCCGGCCCTCCTCTGTGCCAGGCTCTTTACACCCAGGATCTCACGGGATTCTCGCCATGGAATCCTGGAGCCAGACCTTTACAGCTCCATTTGCCAGATGAAGAAATAAGGCTCAGAAACATTAAATGAAGAGCCCAGGGTCACCTAGCCGAGGGGCGGAGCAGTGATGTGGGCCTTTTTGGCCCTAAAGCTTGTGCTCTCAACTACTGCACTCTATCTTCCACCTCTTCAGATGCCCTGGGCTAGGAGGGGTTAATCCAAGACATTTTTCAGGGAGAGGGCTATGGAGCAGGGGAAGAAGGAGAAGACAGGGGAGGGATGGGGCCTCAGTGGAAGGTAGGCAGGGAGAAAGGGGCAGAGCTGTGGAGTGGAAAGTGACCTTGGGCCCCTGTTCACAGTCAAGTTGCTGGGAGTGGGGGCAAGGTCTCTCAGAGCCCTAAGCTACCTGTTCTGCCCACATTTGGCAGGACAAGGGGCCTGGCCCATGGTCTGGGCTAGTAGCCTAGGGCCGGGCTCGCACCTTCTCAGCTTATGACGGGGGCCTGGTTCAGACCTTCTCAGCTTAGGACTGGGGCAACACTCCACCTTCTCTAGGCTTCAGCCTCTTGCCAGAGCCTGGGCATGGAGGGTTCTGCCCT